CAAACGATCCAGTCGCTGAAATTAAGCCGACTCTTACAGACTGTTAGTTGCGACGAACGCCAGACACCCATTCGGGGTGGCTTGGGATTTCTCTCTTCCTCTCGTTCGGTGTGTTTGTGTGTTTGTGGTGTATGTCTGTGCTGTGTGTGTTGTGCCGTTCGTTCGTCTCCGTTTCTTCGCCGAGCTTGGAGCGTGGTCCGTCCTGTCCTGGTCGCTCCGCCTGGCCCGAGACACGCAAAATGTTCTTGCCTGGTTGAGCGTCGCGATGGGGAGTTCTTGAACAGTAATCGTTGGGCGTTGGAGGGCCGCGCGGTGCTTGCATCTGCTACCGCATCGGCCCATTTTTTTTTCGGACCCGCCCGCTGCCTCCCTTTTTCTTCTGTTTCTCTCTTCCTCTCTCGTTCGGTGTGTTTGTGTGGTTGTGGTGTGTGTCTGTGCTGTGTGTGTGTTGTGCCGTTCGTTCGTCTCCCTTTCCGCCGCCGAGCTTGGAGCGTGGCCCGTCCTGTCCCGGTCGCCCCGCCTGGCCCGAGACACACAACATGTTCTTGCCTGGTTGAGCGTCGCGATGATAATGATAATGGCGACGGTGATGATGATGATAATGATGACGATGACGGCGATGATGATGACGACGGTGATGATGGTTACGACGATGATGATGAGGATGATGATGACGATGATGATGATGACGACGATTGTGATGATGACGACGGTGATGTTGATGACGATGATGATGGTGATGATGATAAAGATGACGATGATGACAATGGTGATGATGATGATGACGATGATGATGATGCCGATGATACAGATGACGACGATGATGATGACGACGGTGATGATGATGATAGTGATGACGACGGTGATGATGATGACGATGATAATGATGATGACGACGGTGATGATGATGACGACGGTGATGATGGCGATGATGATGATGACGACAGTGGAGATGATGATGATGATGATGCTGACGATGTTGATGACGACGATGATGAGGATGACGACGGTGATGACAATGATGATGATGATGATGATGATGATGATGATGATGATGATGACGGTAATGACGACGATGATGATGATGATGACGATGCTGATGATGGTGATGATGACGACGATGATGACGACGGTGATGACCATGATGATGATGATGACGATGATGATGATGAACATGATGATGATGATGATGATGATGGTGATGGTGACGATGATGATGGCGACGGTGATGATGATGACGATGGTGATGATGATGACGACGGTGATGCTGATGATGACGATAATGATGATGACGATGATGCTGATAATGATGGCGACGATGATGATGATTATGACGACGATGATGACGATGTTGATGATGATGATGATGATGAATACGACGGTGATGATGACGACGGTGATGATGATGATAATGATGGTGATGATGAGGATGATGATGATGTTGATGATAATAATGATGATGATGATGGTGGTGGTGACGATGGTGATGATGTCGATGATGGTGATGATGATGATGATGATGCTGACGATGACAATGCTGATGCGCCTGCTGCTGATGATGATGATGGTGATGATGTCGATGATGATAATGACGATGATGATGCTGCTGACGATGCTGGTGCTGATTATGGTGATGTCGATGATGGTGATGATGATGCTGGTGACGATGATGATGCTGATATTGCTGAGGATGATGATACTGATGATGCTGATGATAATGCTGACAGTGACGATGACGATGACAATTATGTTGCTGATGATGACACTGCTGACGCTTGTGCTGATGCTGATGATGATGATGTTGATGATGATGATGGTGATGATGATGATGATGATGATGATGATGATGATGATGATGATGATGATGATGATGATGATGGTGGTGGTGATGATGATGATGATGACGATGATGACGACGATGACGACGACGATTACGGCCCACAGGGGTGGGGCCGATGCCCGTATATTTGGCGGCTCGAGAAAATCGAGGCGGGAGGCTTTCACAGTTGAGAATCCAGGGGCCTCCTTTTCCCGGCCCCGGGGACGTCGAGAAACGGCTCGGGGTGAGCAAGCGATTCCCGGAGGTTTGCGAGAGGGGCGGGTTGGAAAGGGGATGGCCCCCGCCCATCTTCTCTCCCATCCCGCCGTTTCTTGACCCCTTCGGAGGTCAACGTGTCCATGGTGTCTTCCAGCTTCTCGCGCAGTTTTGGAGCGCTCCGGGCCCTCTGGGCCTCGCGGGCTGCTCTGGATGCCGCTGGGGCCTTCCTGGAAAATTCCGAGGGCACCCTTGGACCAGGGGCACTTCTAGGAACACCCGAACTCTCCCCCTCTCTTGCCTGCTCCCTGACCGATCGAACCAGGGGCCCCCTCAGGCCAGAGGAGGCACTAGGAGCGGGGGGGGAGGGGAGGGAGGAGGAGATCGAGGATAGCTGTTTGCCGCTATTCTGGTGCCTGGAGCCCCCAGAAGCCTCGATCCAGGAACCTCCTCGAGCTTTGGAGACTTCCAGGGACTTGTGGAGACCTTCCAGTGAGGAGAGGGGGGTCCCAGACCTCGATGCCTCGCACAACAGTGCTCACGGGAGAGCACCCTGGAACGGAGACACTTCCTGCGAAGTTCTCGAGAGGCTTCTGCGAGTCTGGCGAGACACTCTTGAGAGGCTCTCGAGAGGCTCTTAAGAGGTTCGTGGAAGGCTTTTGAGAGGTTCCTGCGACGTTCGTGAGATGCCCCTGAGATGCTTGAGAGGCTATGGGGAGGGCCCTGGGGCTCCTGAGAGGCTCGTGAGAGGCTGAGGAGAAGCGCCTGGCAGCCCATGGGGCGATCCCGAGGGGTTCCTGATGGGCTCAGGAAGGTCTTGAGAGGCTCTCGAGTCCTTCGATTTTGGAAGAAACGTTGACACTTAGTCATTGGATCGGCAGTGCTCCTCATGGCTTCCAGAGATCCAACATGGACTCACGAAACGAATTGCTTCGTTATGACTTGGGGCTCATGTTGGCAGGGCCGCCCAATAGGCACCATATTCGATCATAAGCAAGTGACGGCAGCGCACCAGCCAGCCGGGGCAGCCTCCAGGGGCTGTCCGTGGGGTGGGCATCTTTGGGCCCTCCCAGGGTTCGGGCGCCGAGCTTCCATCAGTGAGTGCGCGGCGACCCCCTCCCCAGGATAAGTTTCGCCATGGGGGCAGCGGGTCCTGAGGGAAACGGGTCATCGGTGCATGAGGTTTTTCGCCGTCTTCGGGCTCTTGGGGCCCTCCACGGGCCCCGGGACTGTCAGAGAACGATTCGGGATGAGGGTCGGGGGTCCAGGACCCGCTCCCCCCAGGAGCCGTTTCCCCCACGCTGACCGCATGCCGACGATGATAAAGTATTTCTCTCGTGACCGCTTATACATGATTATCCCTGGGCTGTATACTTCATCATCCCTGCGCGATAATGTTGCACTAGCACAGGTTACATAAGTGTTCCGCCCCAGGCTCGAAAACTGCGCCTGGCAGGGCTCTGGGCCTCCAGCTCATACTTTCCGGGGGGCCTCTCGGGGGCCTCTTGGAGGCAGTTTTGAGGCCTCTCGGGGGCCGTTTGGGGGCCTCGTGGGGTCTCTTCTGGGCCTCTTGGGGGTCTCCTGGGGCCTCTTGGACTCCTCTTGGGGGCCTCTTGGGCGCCTTTTGGGGCCTCCTGGGGCCTGAGCACCTGTCCATCCGTGGGCAGCCCTGCGCTTCGCCAAGGAGCCACTGGTCGAGGCAGGAGCGCCCGCGCCTCCCGTTCGGTAGCCGCCTGGAGCTGGCCTCAAGGACCAACGCTCATTTGTCTGGTCGATCGGAAGGGGGTGGGCCCCCCTCTCGGTCTTTGAGGGAGGAGCAATGAATCTCGGGGGTTGCTAGAGGTGCCCCTGGCCCAAGGTGCCCCCCACCTTTTGTTCAATTTTGGATCACCTGGGGTCCCCTGGGCCTCGTGAGTGGTGCTCTGGAGGCCGTCGGGGCCTCCTTGGAGATCCTGAGGGCACCTTGGGCCAGGGGCACACTTCTAGCAACACCCAAGAATAGAAGAAGACAAAAGCCATAAACATGAACATTCGGAGATCCGCGCGGATTTCTCGGATCGGCGCTGGACTCCCTATAGGCGGCGCCTCCAGCGCCGCCCCTGGCGCGCTCTGCGCGCCAGGGAGGGGGGTCGAGCGCCGATCCAAGAAGTCCATGCGGAGCTCGAACACGAACAGCTTATTTTTGTTATGCCGTTTTTGTTTCTCTAAGGAAGGGGGGGAATGAAGACAGGAGGGGGAGGGGGGGAAACGGATGATGAGAGGGAGGAAGGGAGGAACTGAGCGAGAGAGGGGGAGGAAAGGGGAGGAGAGGGAGGGGAGGGTGCGAGGGAGGAAGCCAGCGCCAGTGAAGGTGGGCGAGCGAGCGCAGGGGCAGGGCAGGGGTCTCAGAGAGAGGGGGAGGGCAGCGCTGGGGCGTCGGGGAGGGGAGCCGGGGAGGGCGGGGGGGGGGGGAGGGCGGGAGGGGAGGGCGAGAGCGGGCGAGAAAAGGGGAAACGAGGGTGGATGGGGGGGGAAACGAGGGGGGAGGGGGGCGGGTGAGGGAGGGATGGGGGGGAACGAGGGGGCTGGGGAGAGAGGTGGGCGGGGGATGGGGGCGGCAGGGGGGGGCAGCGAGGGGGGGCGCAAGGCCTCCGGGGAAACGCCCCCGTTCCCACAAAAACTCCCCCGCAGAGGACCAGGCATCAAATGACTTACACGCCGATCGTTAAGTAGTCATTTGTGGGCTTCCAGATGCCAATATAGTTTAGGCGCCTTCCTACTTCAATCATCGAGCGCCTTACCCCATCTACTTCCGACGCCCTCCTGCTTCATGGTTCGACCTGCTTCTTCCGACGGACGGGTACCTGTTTCAAGACAGGGCCCCCCGAAGCCCTGGCCCTCTCCCCAGGGCTCTATCCGACCGCGGCGCGAGACATTGCCGCTCGGATTTTTGCTAGGACGTCGGCTGTCTGGGCTGCGGGCCCAGGCGGAGGCCGTGACCGAGGAGCCCGATCCGCCGCTGTACGTGACGCGCGCGATCTCGAAGGACGCCCGCCGCGCCCCCGCGCGCCGGAAGCGCCAGCGCCCCGCGCCGGCAGCCGCTAAACCTTTTAAGTCGGGCATGCCCCTCTACAGGAGGAGTGTTCAAGAAAAGTCAAGAAATAGTCCAGGGAAGCTTTTCCCTGCTCTTTTGACTTTGCTTGAAAGTTCTTTGGTCATCTGTGTATTTTCCAAAATCTCCCCGCAGGAGGACATGCCCGACCTAAGCCAAACCCCCCAGAACGCTGTGACCGTGTCGATGCTGGTGCTTCTGTTGCAGTCTCGGCGTCCAGGATCGGGCGGTTGGTAAGTGGGGGTGACCTAGTACAGGGGGGCGTAGAGAAATGTCCCTGAAGAGGCCCTCTAGGGTTCCTTTTGGAGCCAGCAGGGGCCCAAAGGGGCCGTAATGGAACCCTTTAGGACCCCTGTCTTCACCCCCCCTTCAAGTCACCCCCCCTTACCACCCGCCCGAGCCAAACCCTCCAGAACGCTGTGGCCATGGCGATGCCGGTCTTTCTGTTGCAGTCTCGGCGTCCAGGAGGTCGCTTGCGTGCCCTCGACGACAGGTCATGGGGCCGCTGTTGAGCAGGGGACCTTTAGGTCCAGAGGCCGTTTTCGAGCCCTGGGGCCAGCAGAAAGCGGCTTGGGGCGACGGTTGTCTTATCCTTCGGACGGGGTCGAGAGGTCTTGGGGGCCGCGCGCTCGAGGGAACATGGCCCAGGAGGGGAAAATACACACAGACACAGCTAATCGCCGGCTCCCAGGGAAATATGGGAAAATATGGGAAGTGGGGTAGAAGACGAAAATCGAGAAAATCTGAAAAAGATTGGGAATCCTGATTTGTGTGTATTTATTTGTGTGTGTGTCCCCCCTCAATGGCGTCGGAGGTCTGGGAGAGCCCATGGCTGCGCCCTGACAGCGCCTGGAGGCAGTACTGGCTTGCCTCAGCAGGACCCCAGGCCAGAGTCTGCCTCGAGATCCGACGACGCGAGGCAAATATAGCGTCGTGAACAAAAACCACGGCCAGAGCCTCGGACCGCATCTTTCTGCATTATTTTTCGAGCCCGATCGATCTGTGAGGGCCCGGGGGCCCGAAACAAGGCAAAATCAGCCGTCTTGAAAAAAAAACTGCGTCGTCAGGATCTCAGGGTGGGGAGGTCTGCACCTTGCGCCAACTCCGGCGGTGCCCCAACAGGGCTCAGGGCTGATATTGAGACCGCCCCGGGCTATCCCGTGGGCAGCAAGGACCACGTGCCCTCTCCGCAAGGCCCGCCTGCGCTCAGGCGACGGCCTTGGCAGCGCCCGCTGCTGGGCGCCATTGGCGTCTCGATTGTTCCATGCACTTGTGGCGAAGGGGTCTCCACGACTTGAGGGTGAAGGGGTGGCTTCTTCGGTGTGCCAGTCGTGGCGGCGGCCCCAGCAGCTCGAATCATGGATGGGGCGCCAGCCGACCCCTGGACGACGCGCGCGCCAGCTGGCAGCGAGGACAAGCGTTCTTTCAGTACATGGGGTCGCCGCTTGAATTATGATGTTCCAACCTACTTCAGCCTCCATCAGCAGAAGAATTTCGAGCACCAGCAAAATTCTGAAATTCGAGGGTTTTCACGTGTCGGGCCCTGGGAGACACTCGTCCGACACTGTTTCGACACCGTTTCGACACTTTTCCGGGTGCTCGAAATCATTTCTGGGCTGTGGTCCTTAAGTACGATGGGAGCAGCATAATGCGAGGGTCGGGTTCACATGTGGTTGTTCGGTCGCAACTCATGGGAGCCTGGTATGCCCTCTGAATTCCGTCTCCAGCGTCGACTAGCGTCGACTAGCGTCTGGGAGTCGATGAGATAGCGCCGAAGCGTCGCCCATGCCCATGCTGCACCGGGCAAGCGCATGCCCATGCTGCCCGCCGACGGCCGCCCGGAGGTTCTGGCGCGGCCCCCGAGCGGTGGCAGCGGGTCGCGTCCAGCTCTGCTGCCGGCGCATCACATGAGAGATCGGCCTGCCAGCAGGTGCCCTTGCGGAAAGCTCTTACGGTGCGGGCATTGGATTAGGAACGCCTTCCTGGGGCCCAGACCCTGGCGTATTCCTTATTGTTTCAAGGCGAGGTGGGTGGCCCACGTTTGGCCGCCCTTTGGTCGCGAGACCCTGGATTCCTTATCGAATGCGCCCAGGATGCTGCAGACCCTGGAGGATTCCTTATCTGATGAGGAAGGCCGCACTGGATCAAGCCAGCGCGTCGCCTGACCGAACCAAGACCCACAGCTTCTGCCCCACTGCTCGCAATGGCATGTCGGCTGGGAGGGGGCTCGCTCGGGCTCGGCTGCTTCGTCTCGTTGTATACAATGCGTGGCAGGTAACAGAGCCAGGGCGCCTGCATGAGATCAGCAGCGTGCTGGACGATCAGGACATCGTGGGCATCACAGGCACTAAAATTCGCGATCACCACGGTGTCCAGCAGGGGTTTACAGATCATCACTGGACATGGACGTGGGGGTGGAAATCATCCAGCTGTTCAAACAATAGCTGCGGCCTAATGTTGCTGCTGAAGAAAAAGAGGTTCCCAAGACCCCGTCTGCGAGTGTTACTTCCCGTTTCGAAGGACTTGGTAGGCAGAGTAGGTGGGTTCGCTCTCCGGGGACCTGAACATTTTGTTTTCGTCCTGATGTATTGGCCTCCACCTCCGATGTATGGCAGGCAGCGGCAGGCGTATCATACCACATGTGAGCGCATGTACGAGTGGGCACTGAATACGCTGAGTTCGTTCCAGGGGGCCACGTTTGTGTTCATGATGGACGTGAATGGGGGGTTCGGTCGGAGGGATTCGACGGTCCTTGCTTCCGAGAGCGAGCGTGTGCGCATCGGTACAGCCGAAGGGGTCAAAGAAAATCTCGCGTCCACGAAGGTGCGATTGCTTACCGACCACCTCGGGATCACGCTGCCGGGTACGTTCGTGGAGACGGGCCCCACCTTTTGGGGCCCAAGGGGCGGTAGTTCGAAGATCGATCACATTGGTATTAGCGATGCGCTCGCTGATTGCGTTGAGTCATGCCAGGTCCTTCACCGAGCAGGGCGGCAACTGCAGGTCGTGCCGGTGAAACGACATTACGACCACTACCCATTCCAGGTTGTTGTTAGATATGAGCAGTATTTTCCACCTCCGGGCCCCCAGGCCCATCGTGTTCCCTTTGATCGCAACCAGCTGTATAATTTACTCATGTACGGTGTCCATCGCGACTCTGTGCTACAGGCTGTGGAAGAGGCGTGCAGGTCCATCGAATTAAGTTTGGAGGAGGCCCTTCACTCCCCCAGTGCAGACGAGGCTTGGGAGATGTTGTGGGAGGCGATTAACAAGGCAGCCAGCGAGGCGCTGGCGGGGAACGCAGTGCCTCCCGCGCACCTCCAACGGGATCGCCGGCGGCTGAGCGAGCTCCTTGCACAGCGACGTGACTTACGAGTTCGTCTTGGTGATTCGCATGCCGACGAATGTGTCCGCCTGAGTGCGCAGATCCGGGTGTTGAGCAAGCGTCTTAAGCAGGCGAAGGAGGCGCAGCGTGAGGAGGAAGACGAGGAGCTATCCAAGAGGTTGTTCGAGTTCTGGCAGGACCGGGACATGAAGAGGGTGTGGGAACTCGCTCGTCTACTCAGCCGGCGTGGGTTTGGACGCCGAGGTCGTGCTTTGTTCAAGGCACGGGTGCACGCGACTACAGACGCGGACTGGGAACAACACTTGAGCCTAGCAGGAAAGGACGGCGGATGTTTTGGACTTGTCGCTGATATTCAGGGTTTTCGCCGACCCCCGCCTGGCCTCGGAGCGGCTCGCCATCCAGTGTGGGACGATTGGACGTGGGCTCAACAGGAGCTCGAGTGCTTAAAATTGGGGGCTAAAAAACTCAAGGTGAATACTTCGTGGGTGCCCTGGTCGTGGCCGAATGAGCTCATTCGTGTGCTATTCGCTCCAGAGTGGAAGCTCCGAGACAAACACCGTCGAGGGCTTGGAGCTGATGGCGATATTGATCGTGTTCCTTGGTTCACCCGCTCGTTTACCGCTGTTCTGGCGAAAATACACCAATGTGGTCAAACACCGATGGTGTGGCATCGCGGCCTGGGAGCGAGGCTTGACAAGGACAACGGCAAACCTGGTGTTTTGGGCGAGAGGCTGATAGTCATGTTGTGCGGGGTCGGCCGCACGTTTTACAGGAGTTTGCTTAAGGCGAATCCGCAGCGCGAGCCCATGTACGCCTACGGAGGGTTGCCGGGCCGCCGCCGGGAGGAGCCGATGATGATCAAGAGAGTTGCAGCGTGGCGTGCAGCGAAGCAGGGATGGTTAGCTCTCTCTCGGTTCCATGATGGGACCAACGCTTTTTGGAGTATTGATCAAAATGTTGTGCTCGAGTCGTTGACAAGTATGGGCCCCTTGACGACTGGTTTCTTTGGGCAGCGAGTGCAGCATGCTCATCTTCAGATGTCGTGTACGTCTAGTACAGGAGTGCGGGTGCGTCAGGGAGTCATGCCTGGCGACCATGCTGGGCCCAGGTTTTTTGTGGCAGGCCATGCGAACGGCGTGGATGCCATGAACGTTGCGCTGCAAGAGAGCATCCCCACGACGCAGCACCTGGACGCCAGGAACCCGTTTGATGGGAAGTTATACGCTCTGGGGCTCACGAGTTTCGTCGATGACATTGGGGACACCATTATAGCTCAAAAGGTACAGGACTTGCTGAAGTACGGCAAAAAAAAAAATCACATCGTATCCCAACATCTTGAGCGAGTCGGAATCGGTGCCAATTTGAGTAAGCAGGAAAATGTTGTGGATGGCCCTCAGAATTTGGTTCGTGAGATTTACAGGGATAGAAAACTGGAGGGGAGGACAGTTTCAGACGCTCGTTATTTGGGTGGCAGGCAAGTTCATCGTTTCTTGTTCGGTCCCGAGCGGGGCCGTCGCGTGGACGCTGCCAGAGTTGCGTGGGCAAGTATGGGACGATATTGGTACACCAAGACACCACTACGCTTGAAGATCCAGGTGTTCCGGGCGATGGTTCAGGGTGCTGCGCTTTCGGGGCTCACATCTTGTGCGGGGGCGAACGGGCCTCTCTCAGAGCAGGACGTGCACGCCATAGACGTCGTCCTGCTAGGGTTCTTGCGCAAATTGCTTGGGAAACAAGTGCACAAGACGTTCACTGAAAATGGAGTTGTCCATCACAAATCAGAGAAAAATGAGGTAGTGTGGAAAACAGCTCGTCTCGTACCCACTTTCTTGGAATTGCGCGTGCAACGATTGCGATGGCTCCAAGATCTTGTGCGGCATCCCGGGCGACACGGACAGACCCCAGCAGCGATTTTTGGGGTGCTCCCACTTCTGGATGGGGAGGTCCTCAATGCACAAGGCCTGGTTGAGAACGGGAACCCCTGGGCGGAGCAATTCCGGGATGATTTATTGCAGTTGGGAGAGATCGAAGAGGGCGGGGATCTTCTGCAGGACATTTCCGTGGATGGGGAGCCGAGTTTCTTCCGTTTGTTTCGCCAGCATAAGCAAGCATTTCTTCGTCTGGATGTATCACAACTTCGAGCTAAATATGGTAGTCGAGCCGTCCCACCTCCTGACCACGTTGTTGGTGAAGTTGTTCCTCCCCCACCTCCTCCGGTCGGCACCTTTATATGCAATCTGACGAAAGTTGATGGGAGTGTCTGCGGGGAGGCTTTTTTGACGCGTGGGAGGCTGAAAATACATCAGCGCAACACGAAAGGGGGATCGCATGGAGAGGGCCCCCTTGCCTCTCGAGTGACTATCACGAACCAGTGTATTCTATGTTTGTCATCGTTCAAGAAGAAAGTCGTAGCCCAACGGCATCTGGAGCGCAGTCTAGCGCAAAAACGCTGTCTAGCCGATCAGTGTCATACGTTTGAGCCCGTTGTGTGGCCAGCTTCGAACGCGTGCCCAATTTGCGACCAGTCTCATCAATTTACTTGGCAGCTGTACCACCATCTTGTTCATAGCCATCTCGGTTCGGCACTCTCGGAGGAGCATACAATAAAGTTCGACACACCTGAGCATGAAGCGTGGCTCGTGGGAGCTTCCGGCCCACGGCAGTGGACCAGCGAGCAATGGAGGGAATGGTGGCGAACGCGCTGCCAAGGAAGCGAGGAAGGAGGGGACGTTGGGTGCGGCCCTCCAGCTAGAGCAGAAGAAGGGGGGAGCGGGCACCACCCTCCAGCTGGTGCTCAAGCTGCTGGAGCAGCTGGAAGCTCGCGTCCGCGAGCTCGAGAACGCCGTCTTCGACACGGCGGCAATGTCGAAGGCCAGCCCGATCGTGGAGCAGGGCCAGAGCGTGCTCAAGACGTACGCGGCGGTGGTCAAGGGCAACCCGAAGCACAAGCACGGCCCCCCGCACCTGCACGTGGGCATGGGCATGCTCGCGGCGCTGGCCGCAGAGGCGATGCAGTCCAGGGACGCGGCGCAGCGCGCGCGGGGGCTCGCCTTGCACGCGCTGGTCGTGGCAGCCAAGGACCAGCCCCTCGAGCACGTGACAGCGTGGCTCCGGAGCTTCAGGATCGCAGACATGCACCACCAGCCCAACCAAGACGCGAAGACGAGGGTGGTCTACCACATGGTGGGGGAGGTCGGCCTGCCCAGCACGACCGGCCTGGAGGAGCGCGAGCAAACCCTGAAGGCCGTGGCGGACGAGGAAGAAGGGGTGGCGCAATGGGCCCAGACCTACGTGATTTTGGATTCCGACGAGTGCATCCCGCGCGCGGGGGGGAATCTGAGGAGCATCGGCGTCCAGCAGTTGGTGACCAGCATGTTGTGCAGCGCGGGGGGCACGAGGTGGGCCGGGAAGGCGCCTCGCGGGAAGCTCGCCCGCCGGGTGAACAAGCTCGTCCAGGGCAAGGGGGAGGAGGAGGACGAGTGAGGGACCAGATGCAGTCCGAAGCAGCGCCCTTCCCCTCGAGGTCCCACGCCTCGCCGGGGGCGTGACTATGGGGGGGCTTGCCGCCCCGTCGCGTCCAGCCGTTAGGGGAGCACCACGTATCTCGTTTAAGATACGGCAGAGACGGAGCGAGTAGATAATCCGAGTATGCTTCTCCGATGTCTCGATCAAAAAAAAAATCTGATGAGGGCGGCGGTGATATCCATGGCCAAGCCTCGATTGGAGTTCCACCGGCCTCCAGACCCTGGTTTCCTCATCTAAGGGTTGCTCATTCAATGCCTCCACCGCGTTCCCCGAGGACCCCACGTATCCGCTGACGCGATGGAGCACCATAGGACCCTCAAGGACTGGCGACAAGTGTACCCCAAGATGCTTATCGCAGATGTGCCTACAGTAAGCCCGCAGGGCGCTGCAAGGCAAGTGTAGATGGCTCATCGCGACTAGCACGAGAGCGCCAACCGCCTTCCGCAGAGCGGGGCCGGCGAGCTCTTCGTTGTGCGGCCAGCGTCGCGCGGGGCAAGGCCTGCCGAACTGCGCAGGCCCCCGAGTGCCAGGGACAGCCCCCGTGGTCGCCTGCTCATACGCAGGTCGTTCCCTGCTATCAGAAGATGGTCACGCATGTCCTGCCACCACGGCGACTGGTCGAATTGAAGCTGCCAAGATAGCTTGCCCGTCGTCAGCGCGACTGGCACCAGCTCCGAAGGCGCGAGGCGTGCAGGAGGCGGCTGTTTAGTTTCAGAGCCCGCACGGGGCGAACGCGCAGCAGGATATGCCATCATTTACCAGGCCACGTCTCAGCATGGCGCGTCGAAGCCGAGGAAATCGTGGCTGACCTGGCCAGTGTTGCGAGGCCGCCATCTTCCCTTTGGCCCGCCTGCATCTTTGACCGCGTGCCTTCTCTGGGCAGCGCACCATTGGTTCGCAGCAGCGCCCCTGCCTTGTCTGCCATTAAGTTAGAGGACTCCTGACGCCATCCAGCGTTGCGCGCGTGATTGGTTACCGCTAGCAGGTGCCGTTTGGGTTGGAGTCCCCTATTTTGGAGCCATCTGGCCAGAACGCATCAGCCAGTTGGGCCTCGACGATCCTTTCGTGCATTGGCACAGCGACGGTGCTGCGCCACGACCCGTGCGGCTACCTCCATAGAGCAGCGTTTGGAGCCCCAGCCAGCGCGACCAGCGCTTCCGTGCGAGGCGCCTCGCTCCCTGGCACACCTGGAGGGTAGCCAATGCGGAAAGAGGAGGAGGAGCAGGAGGAGGAGGAGGAGGAGTCCTGATGTCCGCTGGCCCATCGGTGATCACTCACAGCCTCCCGAACCTCCTACAGTGGGGGCGCCCATGCCAAGGAACACCCTGCTTGCCTCCAGGCAGCCCTGGGTTTCTTGGCGTTTGATGGTTCTGCGATGGAATGCGTGACGTTCCCACACCAAAAATTCAGTGGGCGTCCTGGGGTCTCAGGGTTGGGATTCTTGTGGAAGGTTTCTTGTGCTCTGGCCCCTACTGTACGAAACGGCTGTCTACCGACGCCGGCATCCTGTCTTCGTTGATTTGCTATCCCGCGACAGTGCTCTGGGGGGCGTGAGCCGAGCAGAGGAAGGCCAGTGGCCGAGAGACTCGGCAGCAGCGGACGCGCGCGTCAGCCAGTTTGGCTCGAGGCGGCCAGCGTCTTGAGCAGCGTCTCTCTCGTAAACGCCCGCCCAGATTCCCGCCCAGGGGATTTGGCGAGCTGGCGCATCCCCCTCCATGGACGTCGAGCACGCATCAGTGGACCTGCCCGTAGTGTATGGGGCGTGTGCCAGACTCCGCTTGCGACCCCACGGCTACTTGGTGCTGAGGAGGCGAACGCCCTCGTGGCAAGGCTCTCATCTCAGCGTCCCCCAGTCTCGCCTGCGGATGTCGGCTGCCAGGCCTGCGACCCTAGAAGAAGAGAAAACGCCATAAACATAAACTTTTCCTGGATCTGCGCTGCAGCCCCCTCCCTGGCGCGCGGATCGCGCCAGGGGCGGCGCCAGAGGCGCCGCCAGGGGGCCCCAGCGCAGACCCAAAAAATCCGCAGCGGGACCCTGCCAGATGGCGGCATACATCTCCTCCTCCTCCTCCTCCTCCTCCTCCTCCTCCTCCTCCTCCTCCTCCTCTTCCTCCTCCTCCTCCCCAAATGTCCGCGCTGGTGTGGGGCGGAAGTTGTCAGCACTCTTCGTCGGCCGCCTCCGCCCTGCCGCTTCGCCGCGCTGGCCACACGTTCGCGTCCGCGCCAGGTCTCTGGCTGCCGGGGCGACGGCGTCGGGCAAGCGGCCCTGCCGTTTCCGCAGGAAGGCGCGCCGTTGCGGAAGTTGGGGCGCGCGCCGATCGCCTCTCGTTGCTTGGCATGGCGCCCTGCTCGCCCTTGTGCCCCTCGGGGCCTCCCCCGTCGAGGCTGCTTGCTGATGGATCGGCAGTGACGGCGTCACCCTGATGAGGATCAGACTTTCGCTTCTCGGCTTTAAGGGGTTTTGCTGGCGGCGGAAGTGGTAAAGCGTCGTGGCGCCCCTCGGGAGGCCGAAAAAGGACGCAGCGCCACCCAGCAGGATTCCTCTGAACCGGACCCTGGTTGCTATAGCTGGCCGCTTGCTTTTTTGTCCGCGCCTTGATTGCGTAACCGCACGTCGCCTAACTAAGCGACGTGCAAGCACCAAGCTCACATGTTCGAGGCCACGGCCCCTTCGCCATGCCCTAATGGGCACGGGCGGGCTCCCCGGTGGAGCGCGTACGACTGCATCGTTCGCTTCACTTCGCCTCTGCGCGCTCCCCCTCAACAGGAGGTACTTCGCACCAGCGGGGGGAGGGGAGGATCCGATGCGCCGCGCTCGCTGGCACACCTGGAGCAGGGCCACTGCGAGCCCTGGCGCCTGCTGGTCCATTACCGCGAGGCTACGGTGTCTCGTGCGCAAAGGAGCTGTCGAATGATGACAGGATGCGCTCGTTGCTGACCCTTCATCCTCCTCCTCCTCCTCCTTCTCCTCCTCCTCCTCCTCCTGCTCCTCTTCCTCCTCCTCCTCCTCCTCCTCCTCCTCCTCCTCCTCCTCCTCCCCCCCCCCCTCTTGGTGTAACACTGGGCTGGGGTACGCTTCTGGAAAGGAGGAGGGACCAGGCGGCGATGCAACGAACAGGGTGGGGGGAAGAGGGATGTAGAAAGTGGATGAGGAAAAAGAGCCAGGAGGAGGATGGGGAAGAGAGGGGAAGGATGGACACATGGAGGGAGGCGAGGAGATGTCATCCACGAGCGAGTTGCGCAGAATGAAATAAGGCCTAACTCTCCTCTGTTCCTTTTACCGATTCTTTCCCTAATGCATTCTCCTCGTCCTCCCCTGCATCACCGTCTCCGCTTCCCCCATCATCCCTTGCGCTCCCATTTTCTCCGCCTCCATCCCAAATCCCCCCTCCCCTTGCCTACCCTACGTCCCCACCGCTTTCCTTAGCTCCCTCTCCTTCGATCCCCTCTCTCCACCCTCCTCTCTCCTCAGCTTCCTCCTCTCTTTGGGTTCCTCCTCCTGTTTCTTCATCCCCCTCCTCTTGTGCGAATGGGTGGTGTGGACCTGTGTGGCCCAATTATCGAACACGCGGTTGGGATAGCGGCGATATCACTTCCCAGCCACATTCCGTGACAGCGTGCTAATAGTCCCCCCCGTTTTTGTGAGTCGAATGTGTGTAAGACAGTCTACAGTCATGGTTGATGTTGCATGTTTGTCGGACTAGATTTGGCCAGCCTGGGAGGCGGTCTCTCTCCCAAACGCCTTGCAGGGCGATCCGCTCCCGTCTCCCTGTTGGTCTGACTTTTCGTCGCCCGGCCCGAGCGCAGCTGTGTGATCCATAACCTTGTGGTTGGCGATCTCGTTCACCGTTGAATTCAGCAGACTGTTGTTATGCACTGCTGTGCTACCGCTAAGGGGCCATGGACATCTATCTCAGGTTGCAGGCGTACCAGACAAGGAGAGATTCCGAGGCGATCGATGAAGTCGACGTTGAGGCGCTCTCAAGCAGACCTTTCAAGCTCTTCGTGGAGTCTTTTTCCGTGGCAGACAAGAAGCTCCTCGGGATCTTTTTGGCTGGTGCTGTTTCGACGGAGACACGGCGGCAGACGGGACGGCCCTGCGCACATTGCGCGGCCTCGTGGCCGAGTTTCAGGCATTTTTCCTCTGATTGTCCAGAGTATCTTACCCTACGTACCAACATTGCGAGGAGGCGGACCTTCTCGCTAACTGCTGGATTTCGGTCCCAAGAGTCACGGTAAAGTCTGGCTGGATCACGCTGGATATGTCGCCGATTGCATTCAAACGATCTGAGATGATGACTGCGGCGTGCGAGCTGGGAGTTGGCATTCTTCAGATGGAACCTTCACCAAGTACCTTTCGTGTGTAGTCTACCTATTTGGGGAAGCCCTCGCTACACCTACCCCACTCACCATCATCATCGTCCACGCGAATGTGGCCATACGATGCTGGACACCTCCTAGTGGTGATGGCGGGACGGCACCCCGTGCCGAGGCCAAGTTCAGCGACATCGCCCCGTCGGTAGGGCGCCAAATCTCGCATGATGAGGTTGTGATCTTCGACGGGGCCGTTGAAGTTCAAGATTCTCAACTTAGTGTACCAGGACGCGCTGCAGATCCTCTGCTTGGGGGCGGAGGTGAAGGCCACACAGGCGGCCGTGCAGGTCAAGGGGCTCTTCGGGCTCGACGCGGGCGGGGAAAACGCATCGATGACCTAGCGGAGCAAGTCAAAAACATTACTGTGGCGATGAGTGCACTGTATGGGACAGTGCAGCCTGGAGTATCGCCAAATACTAAGAAGCTCGGCCGCAAGCATGAGCCGCCGACCTTGCAGAAGATTCGTCGGCTTATGGATAAGTATGACAAGGGGAATGTCACACTGAGCGAGTATCAAGTGCAGCAACGTCTTCGATCAATGTTGCCGACTACTGATACTACTAAACGTGGGAGGGGCAAAGATGATTCTAGGGGGAATATCGCCGCCTCCTCCATAGCGACCACCACGAGTCCTGCTACGCCCAAGCAGGGACCGAGGCCAATGCCGAGAATTCTGACAAGCGACTGGGGAGAGGCGCCGATCTGGGTGGCGCCATCCCTGAGGAAGCGTGTCTATGAGAGGGAAAAGCCGCCCATCATTGTGTGCAATACGATGGCA